TTAAATTTTTTTTTTTGCCCTTTTTTTTTTTTTTTTTTTTTTTTTTTTTAAGTTTTCCGTGTTTGGGAGGGGGTATTTTGGAGAGAGTTTTGGTGGGGATGAGGGCAAGGGAAAGTTCCAGAGACTGCTCCTTCATGATGGAATTAAGAGCAGCATATCCAAAATATAATGGTGATAGGAAAGATTTAAAAGCATTTTGGCTCAAACAGGAAGCAACGAACACACCGAAAAATAGCTTGCAAAACAGTGCGTATTTTAAAATAACCTATTCTGCAATCTTCTACTTTGAAGATTGCGTGAAAAGAAAGGTCACGACCTGCAGATCAAAGTAACACAAGTCAACACAGTAATTGCTGGTTGCTTCTCTTGTACCCGCACTTGGTCAGTCCTGTGGGTGCATTGTTTGCAGTGAAAACTTCAAACGCGGTGTTACTGAACTGTGAAAAATCATCTGGGTCAGAATGTGTTACAAAGCATTTGCTAATACTGCAGGTGACCTCACCTATTTTCATTAAAGTGATATTGTGAAGGATGTGTGCCATGTGTGAAGTTTTCAGTGCTTGCTCATTCTTCTCTGCTCCTTATTGACATTTCCTGGAATGGTGCATTCATTAAGTGCTGTTGACATGGAAACAAGGGCAAGTGGAAACAAATGCCAGAGTTTATTTTAAATTAGCTTAAAAGTACATATACTAGATATGCTATCTTTGGCAGGGGGAACAAACGGTGATAACCTTATGAAGTCCTCTTAAGATACAACAGTAAGAAAAGAAGTGCGTGCATTTTCTGTAGATTAACTTTTCAAGCAATATAAGCTATTCCCATCCCGCAGGTCTGATTCTGTGCAATGCAGGGTCCTCTTACAGCATTTTCAGCTTCATTGCAGGTTTTCTAAACTGAGACAAAACCTACTCTTCTATTTTAAAAAGTCCTGCTCTTGAATTTCGGTGGTAATATAAACACATAAATACATACTCAAAAAGCAGTAGGAAATTAGAAGGCCTCGTTCATTAACAAAAAAATAACAGGAATGACTCAGTTAACATCACTGAACTTACTGTTGAGGCTCCCTTTTAGCAGGAGGGATTGCAGTTTGCGGTATTTTTGTGATATGCTTTATGTACTTCATGAGATGATCAGGCTATTCCCTTATAACTGTATAATCTATGAATCTTGCTGCTTACACGAGGCCTTGTCATTTCTACAGTATCTGGAAGCAGAAAACTATTTGATAAACATCAAATAGCCCCACAACTTCCATCTGAGATTAGTTACTGTAAGAATTTATGGGCAAGGACTATTATAATATCTTTTCAGCTAGATAAATTGAAGTCCAGAATACCCTGATTTGTCCATACGTACGCAGTGAGTTAAAACATAACCGTAAGCATGGTTACATGCCTAGAGATAGTTTTTTGAAATTTCCTCAAGCCGTTTGCTACACTGGGGTGGAGCAGAGGAGGGTAAAGTATTAGGAGGTGATGTGGGTTTCTAAACGAGCGGAGAACCCCTCAGGGTGGCCAGGCAGTGCTGAGGCTGCTCGGCGGCTCTGAGACTCCCCACCACACTTACGCCAGCACCCTCTCCCTCCGCTCTGGAAGGTGCTGGCTTGAGGGCGCGACCTGGCTTCCTTATCCCTGCCTTTGGGGAGGTCTGTTACAGATGGAAATTCTGCAGCCTGCTATCTGCTGGGGCGAGGGGAAGGAGGAGGTTGTTTGAACTTTCTTTTGT